TCCTAAAATAGATAATTGCAGCAAAAAAAAAGGATAAAAATACAATGGCAATGAGAAAAGCTCGGATTTCCATTGAGTTCCAATTTTATTATAATCCCTATATCCTTGAAGATCCTAGCACTTTTATTCCGAAGAGAGTGACTGGATCGATTATTCCTATCTGGGGTTTCCATTATTGTGGTGAATTTAAAGGTTCTTCACAGACCGCAACCTCTTGTCTTTTTAAATCCATAATTTTTTCCTAGACCACCATTTCGGGTTTTCAGTCCACCAGGATACCCTTTTTTTCCTAAGCTCCCCCTTGGGGTTTCAACTTAGCGGTTTTTCATTTTTTTTTGTTTTATCCATACTTTTTGCTTGGACCTTTCTTTTGATGGTCCACTGAGATGCCTATTTTTTCCTAAGTCACCTCTTGGGATTTTTGACTTAGCAGGTCTGTTTTAGGTGAAGTATTTTTTTACTGCGTCTAAGTTCACTAGAAGTGGGAAATCTTCACCGTCCCTAGTTGTGAAAATCAAAGCTCTTATAGGGAAGATTTTCTTCGTAATGTATGGTCCTTCATAGTTGGGTGTCCACTTGCCCCGTGAATCTGTATCGATTCACAGGATCTTCTTCAACACTAGATCACCTGCTTAAAAATTTCAAGGACATGCCTTCTTATCAAATGCTTTCTTTGACCGCTTTTGGTATAGTTGATTATGGAAGATGGCTATTATACACTTCTCTTCAATGAGGTTGAGTTAATCAAGCCTTGTTTGAACCTATTCATCTTTTTCAAGATTTGCATTTATTAAGATCCTCAATCAGGGAACCTTTACTTCCACGAAAAGTACTGCATCCATGTTATATACAAGAGAGAATGGGGTTTCCCCATGGATGTGATGGAAAGTGATTTCACCAAAATATGGAATTAACTTCAAGACATGTTCTCGGTGTGGAACCAATTTAGGATGACGAGTTTCCCATTCTCTTTTGATGGCTTTCTAGGTGACATATTGGATATCGTATTTTGTTAATACCATCTTCCAACAGGTAACTCTTCCAGTAAGAGCTGGTTTTTCAAAAATGTACTTGATCAGACCCATCTTTGAGATTAAAAGTGTTTTATGGTTCAACATGTATTATCTCAAGTGTCTGGCAACTCATGCGAGTGCATAACATGTTTTCTCAAGCAATGAATATTTTTTTCACAGCCAGTGTGTAACACCCTTTTCTACCCCAAAAATATTAAGGCAAAAAAACACAGAAATCAGAAATCTCATTAAAAGGCCACTAAAGGGCGTACATTCCTCAAAGTCATCAAAATAGGTCCATACTCCATAACTACGGGTTTTCCCCAAAATACATCAAAACATCATAAACAGCGGAACTCAAAGCATAAATCAAGGTTTCTCCTTATAAGGGAAAATAAGTAAAATAACTCACTGATATAAAACCAACTCAAAGAACCCAACCCGATGTTACATATCATAGCAAGACCCTCTAGTCTCCTAAATCAACTAATAACTCAACCTTCAAAATGACTCATCGACAGCGTCCACGGCTAAACTTGCTCATCTGCATGTTACCCACGTGGAGGTAACATTCAAACAGGCAGTGCGAGTACAACAATTGATAATAATCAATGTATAACAATTAATGCATAAACCGCGTCATATTCATATTCAACACATTCATATCCTTCAATAGGTCTCGAAGGCTACAACGTCATAATTTATACACAAAGGCTCATAAATGCAAATGCAACATAGACCCAATGCATGTGGTACCAATCATCACAGCTCGATGGACACTGGACCATCAACCCTCCATAGATCCCCATCAATAGGATCGATTCAATTAGAGAACCGGAGCACATCATAATACTTCACATCCGCACAGTGGGATTGAAGCCAAAGTAATCGAGGTCCTGAACCGAAGTCCGGATGCACAGGAATGCATGATGCACACGTCACAAATCATCCTCATAATAACATCATAGGTGCATCATCATTCATCATATTCATCAACATAGTCATCATCATTACATAAATCGCCATATCTCATGTTATCACATAATTCATCATAATAATCATCATCGTCGCATAAACCAACATATCTCATGTTATCACATAATTCATCATGATAATCATCATCATCACACATCATGGAAATCGTCATATAATTCATCATGATAATTACATATTTGCCTCATAGTCATCCTCATATTAACCCAGCATATTACCACATATTATCATATATTAATTCCTAATACTACCCATATCATCTCATATTAATTCATCAATTATACTCGCGATAATCCTCACACTATCGCCTATTAATCACATAATTCCTCACTGTCATACTCATGGTAATCCATCCCATAAATCCCCGAATCAAACATCAAGGCGTCGCTGCAACACGATCAACTTTCGCGAACTCTGCTACGTTCGCTGGCTTGCTCGCTAGGCCAGTTGGTAGCGAGTAAGGGGATTTTGGCCTTTGTGGACAAAATCTATCGTTGAGATTTTGACCGTGATAAGATTAGAAGGTTATGAGAACAAGTGATTTATGGCCTTCGTGGCCTAGACCTTCAGAATTCACGATTATCTCCGGACATCTTCCGAAGCTTTTGCCTCCACTTCTCCCTCCTCAGAGCTCTGGCCTCCATTCTTTTCACAATTAACAAAATGAATCCTAAACCTTCAGAATTCTATTTTGTCAAACTTAGACTTGGCCACACAATTGGGTTTTCTCCATTATACCCTCACTTACTCTTCTCAATTGCCCAAATTACCCTTATTCCTCTTATATTTATTTTAATTCATAATAATATTAATAAATTAATATTATATACTATCAATTAAATAAATAACCCATAAATTGCATAATTCTCAATAATTCCACAAAACACCGAAAATCACCGGAAACACCCAAAATATGAATATTCTCAATTAAATAAATTAATTAAAATATTCCGATTAAATTTGGGGTGTTACACAGTGAACTTCTTGCTTAAGTAGTAGATGGTGTGATATTTTCTACTTGTTTCGTCATGTTTCCCAAGTACACATTGCATGGATTCATTGAGAGTTGCCAGGTACATGATGAGGGGTTTTCCTGGTACTTTAGGCATCAAGATCAGTGGCTCTTGCAAATACTATCTTATTCTTTCAAATGCCTTCTGGAAATTGTCATTCTGCTCGACTGTTTGATCTTTGCGTAGCAACTTGAATATATGTTCACAAGTGGCTTTGAGGTGTAATATGAACCTAGAGACGTAGTTCAATCTCCCTAAGAAACCACAAATATCTTTCTCCGCTCTCGGTGCTGGCATACTTTGTATGGCCTTGGCCTTATCGGGATCAACCTTAATTCCTCGTTGGCTTACAATGAAACCCAGTAGTTTTCCAGATCTCACCCTGAAGATGAATGTATTAGGCTTTAGCATCAGCCTGAATTTCCTCAATCGTGGAAATAGTTTTTGCAGATGGACAAGATGTTCTTCTTCAGTCTAGGGTTTTACAATCATGTCTTTGACGTATACTCCAATATTTTTATGAATCATGTCATGAAAGAAAGTCACCATTGCTCGTTGATATGTTTCCCCGACATTTTTTAAGTCGAAAGGCATAACCTTGTAACAGAAGGCTCCCCAAGGGATGATGAATGAAGTTTTTCCATGTATTTTAGAGCCATTTTAATCTGGTTGTATCCAGATAAGCCATCCATGAATGAAAATACCGAGAATTAAGTTGTGTTATCCACTAACACATCGACGTGAGGTGATGGAAGGTCATATTTCAGGCTCGCTTTGTTTAAATCCTTGTAGTCAACACACATTTGTACCTTGCTATCTTTCTTTGGTATCAACACAATGTTTACAACCCATTGAGGATAATTTTCCACGACTAAGAATCCTACGTCAATTTGTTTATGACTTCTTCTTTTATCTTTATAGCCATATCGAGGTAAGTTCTTCATAGCTTTTGCTTTATCAGTGAACATTCTTCTTTGAGAGGTAGCTTGTGCACAACAATATATGTATCAAGTTTTGGCATGTCTTAGTGCGACCAGGCGAATACATCTACATACTCGTGCAGAAGTTCAATCAACTTCTTTTTCACATTGCTTTCTAGGGCAGCTCCTATATTGATTTCTTTTTTATCGTCCTCTAATCTGAGGTTAATGATTTCCACCAATTCCTGGTGCGGTTGAATAACCATTGGTTTATGTTGTAATAATTTGGCCAAGTCCTCAGCGAGTTCACAATCTTCTAACAATCCTCGTCGGTGTGGTAGATTGGATTATTAATGTCATAATGGATCATAGCAGTATCGTCATCAATGGAATTTGAGGTGGACCAGTATGAATTATGATCCATGCTTTATATTAGAATGATGGAGAAGAAAAATGTATGTAAACATCATTGCCATATTTTAAAAGAAAAATGAAAGACAAAGAATACAATTGAATGCAAAAATATACTTTTTATTCACGATAAACTTTAATTGAAAACAATAAGGGTGTCCTACAAGCTTCCACTATGTCTTGGGTAGAATATAGGGATTTGAAAACAAAACAAGAAATTTTCATGTGTTTGAGTCTTAAGGGTGTTTTTTTTTCATGCAAATTCACAACACGGTGAAAAAGTAAAATGAACAAGAATGTCACTAAATTTAATGAGGTTTATAACTCCGCAATTAAAAAAAAATTGTAGTTAAACAAAATGTTGACTTTAAATGATATGGCATATCACATCAACTTTTTTTATTAAATAAAATAGACTATTGAAATCAAAAGTATTGACGAAAAACTTTAGAACGACTATTATTTTAAAAAAAAAATTATAAGGATTAAAACAAGAATTTGAAACAAAAAAGAAAAATTAAAAGAGTGTAGCATACAAATATAAACATGTACTATGTTGGACAAGTAGTCAAATAATGCATTTTAGTTTGGATTTTGTAAAACAGAATTGTGTTTCCGGGGAAGAGAGTTTCGCATCATCATTGTCTTGAATGAGCAGAATCAGAGTTTCAAACCTTGATGGATTTCTCAAAAACCTCTCCATTCCTTCTCCTTCCACAAAAACCTTTCATTCCCTTCATCAAAATTCAAACACCACCGAGAAACCCATGAAACCCAAGAAAAATGGTTCCCATTCTCCTCCTATTACCAGAGAATACATGAGGGACATAATTGGGAATATTTACAGAACCCTAAAGTATTCATCTTGGGATTCCGCTGAGCGAGAGCTTGAAAATCTTCCATTGAAATGGGACTCATACACTGTGAATCAGGTTCTGAAATCACACCCTCCAATGGAAAAATCATGGTTGTTCTTCAATTGGGCTTCTCGTCTCAAAGGGTTCAAGCATGACCAATACACTTACACAACCATGCTTGATATTTTCGGTGAAGCGGGGAGGATTTCATCCATGAAACATGTTTTCAATCATATGCAAGAGAAAGGGATTAGGATTGATTCTGTTACTTACACTTCAATGATGCATTGGCTTTCCAGTTCTGGGAATGTGGATGAGGCAATTGCGTTGTGGGATGAAATGAAATCAAAGGGATGTTACCCAACTGTTGTTTCTTACACTGCTTTTATCAAGATTCTGTTTGATAATCATAGAGTTAAGGAAGCTACTGGTGTTTACAAGGAGATGCTTCAATCTGGTTGTGTTCCGAATTGCTACACTTATACAGTTCTTATGGATCATCTCATTGGCTCTGGTTAGTTTTGCCTTCAACCTGTTTGTTATATTGTCTCTTAGAGCATGCAAGCGTGTTTTTTTGTTGGTCTTTTTATCACTGGTACCCTTATTTTGTATCTAAATGAACTCATAAGTTATAACTCTAGATTCTTTGCATTTGAGTTTGATGGAAGGATTAGTTTGCTTGCAGAAAGCCGTAAAGCATAAGCATCCTATTGACATTCACATTCATGAATTCTTATTAGGACTTGTTGAGAACTCAACAATTTAAGTATAAAACCATTTGAAAATGATTTGCCATCTGATCAGAATAACAAACTGCTTTGGTTTAAAAGTTTCATCTGATCAGAATGATAGGCTTTTATGCAGTGCACTTTTTGCGTAGTTAAATTGAAAAACTTCTAACGAACTGCTACACCATATTACCTGTCCTAAGTTGTTTAGTATTTCGTTTATGAAAAGTTTAATTCTTGCTTTTGTGCATTTTAGGAAAGTGCAGAGAAGCTCTTGAGATTTTTGAAAGGATGCAAGAGGCTGGAGTTGAACCTGATAAAGCTGCGTGTAATATTCTGATTGAAAAGTGTTCTAAAGTTGGTGGGACTGAGTTCATGGCCCATATACTTCGGTATATGAAAGAAAACCATTTTGTTCTTCGTTACCATGTTTTTGTGGAAGCAATGGAAGCTTTTAAAATTGCTGGTGAAAGTGATACCCTTCTAAGGCAAGTCAATCCACACTTTTATTTGGATTGTAGCTTTAGGAAGAAGGCAAATGTCAGTAACATAGTCACTGATGATTCCTCTGCTAATATTGATAAAGAGCTTTTATTTGCTCTCTTGAAAAATAGAAAGGTTGTTGCGATTGACCACTTACTTCAAGGGATGATGGATAAGAAAATAGCTGTAGAAAATAAGGTTATCTCAACCGTTATAGAGGTAAATTGTAATTGTTCTCGGCCTGATGGTGCTTTGTTGGCTTTTAAGTACAGTGTAACATTGAGAATAAGCCTTGAGAGAACAGGATATATTTCCTTAGTGGGATTGTTAAACCGATCAAATATGTTTCCAAAACTGCTGGAAATTGTTGAGGAAATGACTAGAGCTGGGCATTCTCTTGGAATTTATCTGTCGTCACTTTTAATTTATAGGCTTGGTTGTGCTAGGCAGCCGTCTATTGCCTCGAAGATTTTCAATTTATTACCTGATAATCATAAGTGCATTGCTTCGTACACTGCTTTAATTAGTGTTTACTTATCTGCTAAAAGAGTTACTAAGGCACTTGAAATTTACAAAATCATGTGTCGAAAAGGAATTTGTCCTACGTCAGGCACTTATAATATATTAGTAGCTGGTTTGGAAAAAAATGGCAGATATTCTGAAGCAGAACTTTATAGGAAAGCAAAGAAGAGCCTACATTCTAAAATTGGTTCTCAAGAAAATCTTTACACAGAGGGAAAGATATGTAACCTTCTATTTGCTGGGGATGTAATACTTTGAATTTGATGCACTTAGAATTCTCATTGTTGATTCAAGCTGAGGGCATGTTAAGCAGTTGCTATTGGAGAATGAAAATGTCATTTGTGCCACATGGTACTTGCTGCTTTTTTGTCAAGAAGTCGTGCATGTATTGATCCAAGATCAAGTTCATGAGATATTCCAACACAGTCTAACTGTACATGTTGTGGAAAATGCAAAATCTTGCAGGAAATGCTTTGGAATAGTTTAACTCGAGAACCAATATTGGCAGATATTCTGAGCAGAACTTCATGTTGATTAGATGTCAACACGGTCTAACTGTACATGTTCAGGACAGCCATATGTTACATAAAACAAGAACACTGTGTCCCAGCCAGAGACATGATGTGTGCTTGTTAAAATGTGGGAGCACTGCTCTACACACATGGTACTGAAAAGTCCTTGACTTAAGCATGGTTACTTCCGCAAGTATGTCTTCTCCATCACAGGCATCCATGGAATTTTTGGGAAACCAATCTAATACAATGGTAAAATTACTTTCAGCTGGGCAGGCACCAATTACATGGATGAGCAAAATCGTAGTGTGAAGTTTCCATGGGAAAATTAGGACTTGTCTTCCTCTCAAGTAGGCGATGGTGCCATACAATCGTAGTAGTTTATTTTATCTACTTCTAGTCTTATATAAATGATAAGTATCTTTTTATCCTCATTTTTTTTGTGCTTGTTTGCGCGCATGTTAATGAATAGCTATGAGGATATACCTATGAGAAACGGATTATTCTTTTCTAAAATTTAAATAGCAACAACAACTTGATTTTTCTGATGATCCATTAGTGAGCATTACATCTTTATATTTAAGCTTTATATTTAAGCTTTGTTTAGATTGATTTTCTCCTACGAAGAAACGAGAAAACGAGAAAGTTGGAAACCATATTATTTTTCAAGTCATGATTTAAATATTTTCTATTCATAATACAAAATGGTAGAGAAATGGAAGGGATGCAAACCGTCAAATTCAAGTTGGTGGTTGAAATGGACGAGAGTTTTTGGAATTTTATAGGCACAAAGGTACCGTTCAAGCCGAAAGAAAATTTTATCGGCTATAGTAAAACTTGTGATGTTGTATAGAATAAAATGTTGGACGGTTGAGAATCAACCGTGAATAAAGTAAGTGTAGTATAGATGAGGATATTGCATTGGAGATGTGGCAAGCCGAAAGAAAATTTTATCGGCTATAGTAAAACTTGTGATGTTGTATAGGATAAAATTTGAGCGGTTGAAAATCAACTATAAATAAAATAAGTGTAGTAGAGATGAGGATATTGCGTTGAAGATGTGACAAGACTAGACAGAATATTACCAATAATTGAGAAGATGGTAGAAAATAGTATTAGGTGGTTTAGACATGTAAAGGGAAACTTGTAAATTCGATGGTAAAGAGAGTAGATAAGATGGTGAGAAGACATGTAGATTCGATGATAAAAAAGGTAGATAAGATGAAGAGAAGGTAAACAATTTGACAAGTGAGAGAGGAATATTTAAAAGGATTATAAAAGCTCCCACATCCAAAAAAAAATTTACTTGGATCTTTAAATGAATCTCATTAAATATTTATATTATTTTACACTTCACAATTATTTAAACACCTCCTCGTATTTCTTAAATATCCATACAATCTATAAAAAATTTATAATAGATTCATTAAACATTACAAAATACCTCAAATTTTATTTTATATAAATATTTTTATCCTAATTTAAGTGTAGGAGTGTTGTTGTATAGAAAGTCGCTTGCAAACTAAAGCATTGTACACCAAGGTGATGACCCATAGTTTTTGACACTGATACTCAAAGAATATGCAAAAGAAACGCAAAAGTTTACCGAAATTCACGCTTTAAGAAAACATATTAAAAAATATTTTGAGATTAATAATTTAGATAAAAATTTAATTTAAATATAATATTAAAGCAAAAGTTGATTATCTAGCTGATCTCATTTAGTGAGATAAAGTTTTAGTTGTTCTAGTTGTATATTTATGGTTGTGATGGGAGAATGGAGTAGAGTGGAAGTCGAGAGTTCCGATATTGACCCTTTCAAAAACTTGGTTGTTTTTTTCTTCAAAATTGCAGGCTTTATTTGTGACATGAGTTCCTAGAACCTAAAGTGGAATAGTTCAAGCTTTTTTTCCCAACTCATGACTACGATTTGTATTCCCAAATACAGTCTCCTCTCTCTGTCTCTTTCTTTTAACTCTTTCATCGCCATTTTTTTCTCATAGTAGTCACCTTGGAATGAAAATGGACAAGAGAAACGTCGTTTAGGCCTCCCAAGTGGCATCACCCTTGATATTGTCAAAAGAGATGCTGATATTATTATATTCTAATAAACAAAAACTGACAAGAGCTAACTCAAAATAATCTTAATATCTTATTATCAAGTTGCTCTATGTCAGCGATGTTTTCACATATCATACAATTCCTTATTCAATGCTGTTATACTATTACTATTACTGCATCAAATAAATTGATGTGAAGTGAAAGTGACTTTCTTAGCAATGTAGAATAGGCCGGCGCTGTTTCAAGCAGTGCCTTACATCTGGCAATCATTCACCATGTGATCTCATCCTCACCCTCCACTATAAATATGCAACCCAACCAACCTTTGCTTCTGGTAGAGGGAGAGAATTTGACAGTTGAAATAGCAGTTTAGTTAGTTATTCAGTGCTCAAAATGCGTGAGATTCTTCATATTCAAGGAGGACAGTGTGGAAATCAAATAGGAACAAAGTTCTGGGAAGTGGTATGCGATGAACACGGGATTGACCCCTTAGGACAGTACATAGGGAAATCTCAACTTCAGCTCGAAAGAGTGAATGTTTATTACAATGAGGGATCCACTGGTCGTTACGTGCCACGTGCAGTGCTTATGGACCTTGAGCCAGGCACCATGGACGCTGTCCGGACCGGTCCTTATGGGCAGATTTTTCGGCCAGACAACTTTGTATTCGGACAGTCTGGTGCCGGAAACAATTTCGCCAAGGGTCATTACACCGAGGGTGCTGAGCTCATTGACTTTGTCCTTGATGTAGTAAGGAAAGAGGTTGAGAATTGTGATTGCTTGCAAGGTAACCAAACTTCTTCGAATAGACATAATACTATATGCTGTTTCATTAAAATAATATGCAGAATTTAATTAAAGATGTTGGTTTTTTTTGTGATTGGTAAATACAGGATTTCAAGTGTGCCACTCTTTGGGAGGAGGAACAGGTTCTGGAATGGGAACTCTGCTGATTTCAAAGATCAGAGAGGAATACCCTGATCGAATGATGCTCACTTTCTCTGTCTTTCCGTCACCGAAGGTGTCAGACACTGTTGTTGAGCCTTACAATGCAACACTTTCTGTTCACCAATTGGTCGAAAATTCCGATGAATGTATGGTCCTTGATAATGAAGCACTCTATGACATCTGCTTCAGAACCCTCAAACTCACCACACCAAGCTGTAAGTAATTATAACATATAGTATAAGATACAATATAATTTATACGGCAATTGATCGCATATAACTGTTTTCTTCTTGAATATGCTTTACCAAATTGATTTGTTTCCAGTTGGAGATTTGAATCATTTGATATCGGCAACCATGAGTGGAGTAACTTGCTGCTTAAGATTCCCAGGTCAGCTGAATTCAGACCTGCGGAAGTTAGCAGTGAACTTGATCCCGTTTCCACGACTTCACTTCTTCATGGTGGGTTTTGCTCCTCTGACATCTCGAGGATCGCAGAACTACCGAGCACTAACTGTACCAGAACTTACACAACAAATGTGGGATGCCAAGAACATGATGTGTGCAGCAGATCCACGCCACGGCCGTTATTTAACAGCCTCGGCAGTGTTCAGAGGGAAAATGAGCACAAAAGAAGTGGATGAACAGGTGCTGAATGTGCAGAACAAGAACTCTTCTTATTTTGTTGAATGGATTCCCAATAATGTGAAGTCGAGCGTCTGTGATGTACCGCCAACAGGCCTTTCCATGGCTTCGACTTTTATTGGCAATTCGACTTCAATACAGGAAATGTTTAGGAGAGTGAGTGAACAATTCTCTGCCATGTTCAGAAGGAAAGCTTTCTTGCATTGGTATACTGGAGAAGGAATGGATGAGATGGAATTTACTGAAGCGGAAAGCAATATGAATGACCTTGTAGCTGAATATCAACAGTACCAAGATGCCCCGGTTGATGAAGATGGCGATGATTACCAAGAAGAAGAGGATGCTCAAAGCTGAAGATGTTCTACAAACTTGATGCTTTGCATACTGCAAGACATTAATATATTTGTTCTTTGATTATCAAAAATATATGATCACGTTTGTGGTTTGCGGTTGTTGGCAGTTCTACTTGTTTTCATATACTATTTTATGCAGTTCAATAACAGTTTCTTGATATAATAACAGTCACTAACACTAAGACCTAAACACCACTAAGTTGTGATTGAGCTTTCCAGATTAAACTAAATAAGCTATATAAGAAAGTTTGACAAGTGTTTATTTTAAGAAAAAATTCCAAACGGCCTCGAAATCATCACACATATATACACTGCATTAGTTGAACAGGTTGTTTTCTGCATATAGCTCTGTTATTTTGCTGACTTGGCCTCCTTAGTTGGTTTCTAGACATGTAGTTGGTGAAATTGGATTTTATGTCATCGGTATTTTCCTCAGTCACGAGAACAGTAGCTCTATGATCTTGATTGGATGGTCTAATACAACAATAAATGTTTATGTTGATATTTTAAGAATACCGAGTTAAAAATCAGAGTCATTTTTGGCATCTGTTTTATCTCAACAAGTGATGTGGTCTAATATACAAATAATGAGGTTTCGGAAATTGTGTAAAGTATATAAAAAAAGGAAAGCAGATGAAACTACATCAAATTCTTATCTGAGACGTTATTCAATGCAAATTCTAAATATAGCATCTGCATATAGTAATAACTAAATAATTGAAGTCTGGCAATGAGTTTAAAAACCTCATATGAACAGCATTTATTGGAACAGACAAGTTAACTGCATTTGCAGTCTTAAATATGTATCAATTGCCCTTCCTTGTGTATCAATAAGGCACTAAAGTCTATCTAAATTTAAGAATTTGTAATTTACAAAAGGGAGAATGAAATCTAAGGACCTAAATCCAAGTTAATCATGTTCAAAGCTCTGGCTGAAGTTCCGATTTTTATAGAACAAGTACCTTTGACTGCTATGATTTCCACAAGACTGTTTGTTGTTTGTGTTACTTTTGATAAATATGCTTTTTCTGTCCAAAAATGCATTTCTCCCTTGAAAATTCCACCATGATTCAGTCATTTATTTCAGAACTCTTTGGTTTGCTTCATTTTCGTTGATGTGTCTAGATGAGATACGGTTCAGCTGATCATACCCAGCAAGCACCCCAGCTCCTGCCATTCCAAGAAGCATGTTTGCGGATACTCCTCGAAATAGAGCTAAGAAACCCTCTTGTCCAACAATCTCACGGAATGCATGCATTGCATTATTATACTTGATATGGTGTCCGGAAGTTAGCATCATACGCCGCCGCAGTGTGTCAAAAGGGTATGCACAGACACCAGATACAGTTGTGATGCTCCAACCTAACAAGAAACTGGCAAAGAAGTTCCCCTGCAGAAAATATATCAAAGACTCGTTCAAATGCAAGGGTATAAATTAACAGAACCAATGCTCTGATCTGAATTCAACCGAGTGCCACACCATAAAGGGATATAACTGTGAAAACTTTATGAAAGTATTTGAAATTGCTAACAAGATGGAAAGTTCGATTGTGACACAGAATATAGAAGGCTTGTTCGGGGAACCCGTTTTAGACATTTTCAAAATTTCTAGAAATACTGAATTTGTTTTCAAAAATTGTAAGTAAATTGTGAGGGAAATATTGAATCTTGTTTTCCCTAATGCATTTTAGTTTCGCTGGGAATGAAAACATAAAATAAGGCAAGTAATTCGGCCATTATTTTCCAAATTACTGCTGTCTAACTTGTCACGTGTTTTATTCTAGAAGATGCATGTTCAAACTAAATATAATTTTTCAACCATCGATATAAGTAGCACAAAATAGAATAACTCTAAAATTGGCTCGCATACCAACACGGAACAGACCAACCAGACTACTAGTCGAGCGGTAATAAATGGCAAAAATTTCAGTAAAAAGTATCAATTATTTACCATATATGTTCCCATTGTCTGTGAATTATAGATTACTGTTACAAATATAAATGTAAAAATGTTTACCTCGAGAGCCCCGACTAAAACAACAGGCTTCATGGTGTCATAGATCCCAAAGTACATCCCTCGATACATGGTGATTCCCAATATTGAAACCCCAAATCCTCTGTACAAGCCAGCAATTCCATCAGTTGATAAGGTTTTACGATATACATCAACTAGTCCTTTAAACTGACGCTGACCAGTAACATGGCACACGAAAGCATCAGTGGCCAATCTTGTACGTGCAAAGTCCAAATGATACAAAAGCATTGAAGTAGTCGCTCCTGCAGCACTGCCTGAAGCAACATTCCCAGCAAACCACTTAATGTACCCGTCTTTCTCTTTGGAATATCCAAAGATGCTTTTGAAGTAACCTTTGAATGCAAAATTGAAAGCCTATAGACCAATCAACTGTTTGCTCAAACATATTTAGCAATAACGATAATATGACGAGATGAATAACTGACCTGTGTGGGAAAATATCTTATAACATTGGCCTGGTTACCTCTCCAAAAGGCAACCAGACCCTCTTCGGCGAAGACCCTCTTGAAGCTATTAGCCACGCCGAGGTACGGTGTTTTAAGCTGTCCTCGTTTAATCATTTCGCTTTGGTTTTGTAATAAAAGCTTCACTCTCTCAATCGGCGCTACTGCACTCTTGGATATGATTGCCGCTGCGCCTCCCATTAGAAAATCCTTGGAAAATGTATCATATTGTGGTGATTTTACCATGTTTTTCCCTCTCCTCACTAATCCTGATACATGTAATAAAACTTGATCAACAATTGACTATATAGATCAATTCTAAACAAAAACCATCGTGACACCACAAATTGATAGAAATAACAAGGAAATCGGAGATTTCCGATACAAATAACCAAAAGGGATAATTGAATAATTATGGAGGCAATAAATAAAGTTACCTGAAGAGAATGGAATTGAGGTAGAATCAATTGGATTGCATTGGTGATGGAACAAGTTTCATCTTCGGAAGGGAAGTTGGTGAATGAAAAGCGCGATTATGTTTCAGCTTTTGTGTGGAGAAAGGTGCGTTACTCGAGATTTTGTTTGGAAGCGGGTAGGAATCTTTTCCGTTTAAAATTTCCAATTGCATCTTGTTAATAAGCACCTTGGGATTTTAAATTATTGTTTTTTATTGATAAATTTGATAAACCAAATCGTAAAAGTTTTGAAATCAGAAAACATTCTTAAATTTTTCTTAAGAAAAACTTATATGGAGAAGATATTCAATTTATATCATATCAAAAAGACTTTTTTTTAGTTATATTATCTATTATTAAAAATTCTTGAAAAAATACTCAACAGTGTTATAGCTGAAGAAAAATCTTTACATCCTAATATAATACATTTGTTCTGAATTAGTTATATCAGGAGTATGATCAAATATAACTGAAAAATATTTTGACTACACAACTTTTTTTTATAAAAATCTATTAATTCATTTTGTATTAGAGGATGAAATTCTATGTCTAAGATATTGGTTATGAATTTCATTATTTTTTTATTAGACAAATGTACTCTTGTATTAGAGGATCAAATTCTGCAATCATTTTAATTAGACATAAAAAATTTCTATTATTTTCTTGATAAATCTTTTTGTTTGTTCCACGAAATGCTAAGTTTTTTTTTTCAAGAGTTTTAACAACTACAATAATTCTAAATAATAAATATCTCTAATGCTCTCTTTCTCTATTAATTCTTTCTTGAACATTCTTGTCAATTGTTTTATGTTTTAACAATCTCATTTCTAAATCAATCCATGAACTCATATTAGCAATATGTTCATTATTCATCTCATGACTCTTCAACTTAGCACTAATATTTCCCAAATCATTAGTACATTCATGTGCTAATTTACTTGTACTAAGAAGAACATTAAATAGTTTACAACAAAAGCAGAGCACTTTTTCAAATTTTGAGAATAAAACAACCATCTTCTTTCACGTTTTTATCCGTTGGACAATTATTGAATGTAAAGTGGTGAAGATAAGTGTTTTGCATATGAATCTTTGAAAAAATTTATATCGGTAACTTTAATAAGGTAGTTCTCTACTAATAAATCTCTCAAATTTGTATCAATAGTTATCCATTAACTTGGGTCATATATATTTTTATGAGATGATTTTTCTAATACTTCTTTTCTATCTTCATTGTGAGTGTCTAAATTAATATTATCTTGACTATTAACTAGTATTATAGTTTCATTTCACCAGCTATTCCTTCTTTATTTTCATTAGCATATATATTGCTAACTTGTTCATCAACTACCTCTTTTCGATTTTCATGTTTATCATGGTTTACATTATTAACTTGTCCATTCAGCGGGTAATCACTAGTATTTTCAATTTTACTTTTTTTTATTTCTCTTAACAAATTTGTCTAAAGCCTTTTTTTTAATTAAATTAAAACTTCAACTCTTTCCTTTTTTTTTGAATTTTGAATAGCCCAATTCATATTTTTGAGTTGACATTTATATATTTTAAAACAAGTAAACAATTCAATCAAATCTTTAAAGTAAGCAACTAAAATAAACAAACAAATAGAATAAAAGAACTAAAATAAAATAAACAAACTAAAATAAAACTAAAGACATAAAAGAGAATAAAAAAAGTATAGATTAAACAAAACAAATAGTAACAAAGAAAGTAGATCCAACAAGAGAATAAAAGAATGTGTTTTCGGTAAAAAGAGAATAAAAAAATAACGACTTATCTGACGTCAATCAAAACAACAAACCGGTTATTGGGGATGGAGGATAAGAAAGAACTTAAGAAGCCATGTAACAAGAATTCGTCTTTGTCTCTGCATGAGTGACTCTGATATGATGTGGCAGTAGCATGACACTATATTATAAATCTATAGAGTTGCTTCAATTGCGGTTACATAATTTTTTGCTTTTGAGAAAATGTTCAATTGAAGTTTAACAATAAAAGAAGAAGAGTTATTATGAAAACATTGAGGAACTAAATCAATTTAGTATTTAGTTAT